GCCCAAATGTCGGCGTCCAAGTGTCGCGCGTCCAAATGTGTAGTAAGTAGAAGCTCGTATTTTCGTTTTCACATTGATTTGTAGTCTGATTCTATACTGATGATGAATCGGTAGATTTGAAACGTCTATATTATTTTATTTTAATAAATGAATAAATAGAACGAGGCTGCTAAAATTATGCAAATTTTTGGGTGATAGAATTCTGCTACTTGTGGAAAAAAATCAATACATATGTACATTGTGTCTAAGTGTCGTTGCGTCCAAATGTCGTGGGCCGAAATGTCGTCGCGCCCAAATGTCACGCGCGCCCAAATGTCTGACAATCAGTTTATTTAGTTGAAATCATTCAACTTAATTTTATGATGTACGTTTGTTTTGGAAAAGAATTTTCTTAATAATGCAAACTAAACGATGAGTGTTTTGATAACGGTCAATAAAAATACAGATTACTAACTTTGTTAGAACAATATTGTACTATGTCATGGACAACATTTGACGAATATTCAGTATGATTATATTCTGGACGTTCATTAACATCACTTCTGATGTTTAATTGTAAAAATAATTTATAAACATATATCTGTAAACATTCACTTGGTCTAATGATTCATTTTAGCTTTATTACTCAGTTCAAGATCCTTTGAAATTAGAGAATTTTACTAGAAAGTATGGACGCTCAAAAAAGCACGTCTCACGTTACAAGAATGTGTTTTGAAAAACATTTTTCTTTTGTAAAAATAATATTGACATATGGTAATAAATACTTATGCATCTTACAATGGTTTTTTTGTGCATGCGAGAGAGAAGAACCAGAGTTTACAAATATCCATGATCTTACCGTTATCAAGATAATCATTAAACAGTTTTCGTTATTAAAAAAGTTCTTACCAGGTTTGTTTCGTCTTCTGTAACGCTATTTCGTCATTTAAGGATACCCCCCTCTTTTTTCACCTTGTTGCCAAACGCGAAGCACACGTCCGATTGAGGTCCAATTTATAGCAGAGATAGAACATAGAAAAAGAAAATCGATATATTTTTGCCCAGAATTTTCTGAGATGTTCTTATATGAGTTTTCCGGCAAACTCCGGTTTTCATCCAGTCACATTACGACCCCTCGGAAAAATGGTCCGATCGAGCTCAATTTTTTACCACAGATACTTCAGACCCTATCTCAGGTTCGAAATTTGTTTTTCGAAAAATACTGAAAAAATCTAACTTTTTTTGCGCTCTTGAAAAAAATTTTTTGCCTCCCAGTCTTACCGTTCAGGAGTTTTCCAGAGATCGAGGTCCAAAAAGGGCCTGAAGTACTTCCCAAGATTTTTTAACATACTTCAATCTGGAGAGTTTGGGTTTGTTTTGTTTTAAGCTACACCTAACTACATGGTCTGACAAACGCCGATTTTTCAATTAAGCCTTTATTGGTTGTCCAGACAACAACAATCTCCAAAACCCGAAAACTCCTTTCTGATTCTCTAAAAATCCTCAGTTTGATAAAAAACTAAGACCTAATTCAAAAATCGGCGCCGGTCAAACGATGTAGTTTCTTTTCCTGTTTTAAATAAAAAAAAAATAAACTCTCTACGACAAACCGCTATTAAAAATCTTGGGAAAAGCCTCAGATGTACTCTTTTATAGTGAAAACGTTGTATAAAATACTCAAGTTTAGAACTTGTAGAAAAATGCCTGTAGTTTGTTGATGCAAGGTCATACAGAGTTATGCGAGCTCTTATTTTGATCAGAAACGTTTGCTCTACGAATCTGTGCGTTCAGAAAAATTTTAATTGGATAAGTATCCAGGAAAAAGCTATTATTTGAAGATTCGGTTTTCAGAGGCTCCTAGAAAACTTGCTCAAAATCCCCGAAAGCTCAGTTCTGTAACCAAAAGCGATACAGATTCTTCAGGATACCCTTCCATGTGCTTATCTCAAAACCAATTTTTTGACAGAAAATCACAATTTCTAAGGGGTCCTCTTAAACATTGTTTCAAAAAAATCTTTGAGCTGTTTGATGGTCGATTGTTTTGCTAATTTATTCTAAAATGTCTCTGTTGGACGATCTTTGATAATGTGTACGTTCTTGTTTATCTCCAGTATTATTAGATTCTGTCAACAATTGTGATCGAAGATGTGTGGTTTTTAGGGAGGCATAGATTGGAATTGATCATTATCAATATCGAGAAATTCCTCATCGTCGTCATCACTCACTATCGCTTCTTCATCATTTTTCTTTAAGACACTTAATGCACTAAACAATTGATTGGAGAAGCTTGGGCGCCTATCAAATTTGACTGAGTTTGATTCTTGTTCTATCGAAGTTATATTGCTCACTTCTTTAATGGCATCATTGACAATAGTTTGAGACAGATTTGTTGCTAAATTAGAAATATTATCCACCAGTAGTTTATTTCGAGTTTCATCATCCGTTATGTCTTTCTCCTTGGTTCTTGCATCAGTCAGCTGTATTTCTGGAATATTCTCATCAGATTTATCCTTAAACGATTCATATTCATATCCCTTCCATGTTGGATCTGTATCGAACCATTCTCTGGCTTCGATGGATAAACGACGAAATGAATCGTGTAGATCTTCCACTTTAAAATATGCAATATCATCAGTAACAGGCGTTTTTCGAAGTTCTGTACGCACTTTTGAGGGTATAAATGGTTGAGTAATAAATTCATGTTTTGACTCAAAGGTACCATTCTAAATAAAAGTTAAAGAAACAAAATGGAGTTGATATGGGAGGAGAGTTGGTACAACGGAAGGCGAAAGTTGGTATGAGACATAGCTGTTGATTAAGACACGTTTAATGTTCTGACTGCATTCACTAATAATGCTTCATCAATGCACCTCGTTCTTCCTACCTGTAAGTGATAAAAACGGAGATACTACCATTGTTAGGTACACTGTAAACTTGGATTATTTTTAATTTTATACAAAATCCTCACTGATTTTCCAACTTTATAAAAAATGTTGATTTTTAAGATTCTTAAAAATCGACTCGATTTTCTAGAATCTTGAAAATCGAGGTTGATTTTCAAGTTTTTAGAAAATCGATTGCTTTTCTATAAATAATTTCCAAGATTCTTTTTCAATCATCGTTTTGTTAATTTGAAGTTATTCGAAGTGTGAAAATATTCGCACTTATATTTATCCAAGAATATAAGTGCGAATATTTTCACACTTCGAATAACTTCAAATTTTTTTCCTTCTGGGCCGCAATCCGTTGAGGGGATTATTTATAGAAAATCGTCGTTGATTTTCAGAAAGTCTATATATAAAATCGTCGAGGATTTTCTATTTGATAGAAAATCAATGTCGATTTTCAAGAATCTAGAAAATTAGTGTCGATTTTCTATAAATAATTCCCAAGAATCTAGAAAATCCTCCTTGATTTTCTAGATTCTTGGGAAATTTTCTGTAAAATAGAAAATCCTCGGCAATTTCATATATGGACTTTCTGAAAATTGATGGTGATTTTCTGTAAATAATTTTCAAGGTTACAGTGTACGATATTTTATCTACTCTATGCTATTGATCTACTTACCATTGATCTTAGTTTATTCCGATAGTCTTCCATGATTATTTTTTCTTTATTTTTCTTTGATAAATCAGCGTGAATCTGCGAGATACTTTTGTTGTCTATTTTAATATTCTTATTATTCATGAGTTCATCCGCATTCTGATAATGATATTCGTTCATTTCTTCTCGAAACTCCTTTAATGTTTTTTCTAAATTTAATCGATAATTTTGAACGAGAACAGATGATATTTCCTCACGATTTTTTGTTCTACCATGAAAATCTTCATATAAATTATGAATTTCCGTCCTAAGCTTATCTATGCTTCTCTGTGAACGACGTTTTAAGGATCTAGATGGTTTATGTTGAATAAGTCCATGTTGCTCAAGACCCATTATTGTGTGCGAGTGGGTGAGACGACCGAACGTTGGTTCGCGTATATCCATGTAAGGATATGGCGAAGATTTTTGTTGAAATGTTAATAAAGAGGGTGGATTAATCATATACTGCACACGCATCAGTTCCAGTTTAGCTAGTTGACGCTCCTGAAATGCCTGTTGTCCATTAACTGGGTTACTCGAATCTTGTGTCATATCTGTTACTAATGTCGCGTTTGTATCTAGTTCGTCTAGGCCAGTTAGTATATTATTCAATTCCGCCTGCATTGATGATAATGATTGAGCTAATTCTTGCTGCCAATCGTTATTCGGATTTTTGACTTTAGGTGTTTTTCTTTTCTTTGTGTGAAACCGTTTAAAAATATTACGAACCCTTTCTTTAGCACGATCCTGACGAGATGATTTCTCCAATACGTCAGTTGTTTCTTTTATTGTGGGTATTATAGTGAAGAAGTCAGCTTCGTCATTATCGATTTTAACAATGGTTTCAGCAGCCAATGGTCTATGTACATTGTTCGATTCAATGATTTCGACTGACGAGTCTTCCTCGTCATTGTCGTCACTGTCTGAGCTCGAATAAGAAGAGTCAGATGCTTCCTGTATCGAAGATCTTGGCGTTAGAAAAATAGACCTGTCAGACGTATCATTTTGTATAGGTGACACAGGAGTTAGAACAATTTTTGATATTGTTGTCATGATACGTTCTAAGTTCGTTCAACAGAATTAAGAGAAGTGAAACATTTAATTCAATAGCTATAAAATCATGGTCCTGTGTCTTTGCATGCATCACTTGTTATGATTCATAAAAGAAATAGTAATTTTATTGACACATGTTTCTTTTGTGCATCTAACGATACTAATAAACGAACACATGAATCTCGATGTAAAAATAACGTCATAGCAGCGTAATGAACCAAGCAAAGAGTTAAAATATAACGAATCTTCCAAATAAAAAACGTGCTTCAAAGCGGAACACCATATGTTGCTAAAAGATATTAGGTAGCTTGAAGTGAAAGAACAAACTACCATACAAAAAAAATGTTACTGATAGGTGTAGCATGGTATTCTTGACAGACAACACTTGCTTCAACTTCACTTGCCGATGATTTATTGTGCCGTTTCTATTAATTCAGATGAGAGTATAGAATTGACAAGGGGAAAGGTCAACAAAGTTTACTCATAGTGTCGAAAAATGCTGATGGAGCTAAACACTGAGAAGTGCAGCTGGTTAATTTTTTATAATTCTCCCACTTTTTTGTCATCATCTACTGTTAAGTTAAGAGACAAATCACTTGCCCATATCAGCGAAGTAAAGGGGTCGCAGATGCCATTTTTTACACTTTTCATTATCTAAAATGGTCTAATGTGCTAAAATGCGGGAAAAAGCTGAACGTTACTAATCGAACTTTTCTCGACGCTCGAATTAAAAAATCATTTATATTTTATATGTATTAAATCCATCGTAAAATATGATGCGGTACAGTGCTATCGTTTTCAGAACACGGTAGCAACCTAAATTTTTTGAATAACTTTTGAACGACGACAGATGCAGTCTTGTGGTTTTCGCCGTTCAAAAGAGAAGACTTCAAGGCATCTTTTTATAGGCGAAGTAATTTTCAAACTTGGTTTTACACCAGATCTGTGGAGAACCAGATCATAGTCTAAAAAGTTGAAATACACATGTACTGATTTTTTTCTACAAGTAGCAGAATTCTATCACCCAAAAATTTGCATAATTTTAGCAGCCTCGTTCTATTTATTCATTTATTAAAATAAAATAATATAGACGTTTACGCTACAAATCAATGTGAAAACGAAAATACGAGCTTCTACTTACCACACATTTGGACGCGCGACACTTGGGCGCCGACATGTGGGCGCGCGCGACATTTGGGT